AGGAAACAGAATGAGATGCTGCGGGAGAAGTACGTGATCCAAGCTGCCCAAAACTTAAGAATTCTTTATTTTAAGCTTTAACCTAACGCATTAGCGTATGGCGTAGGCTATAGGCTTGCCCTGTCCTGCGCTTTGACAGATTCATGTTCGTCCTCAGCGCAAAAACTTTCAGTTCACGGTCATATCCTTATCTGTAAATGTAACAAATTCACGCGAACACTTCCACTTTTGCAAAAAAGTCCGTTTTGATAGTAAATCTTTACTGAATGAGCACCGGCGCGGCGGGCGCGTGGACGCGCGTCAGACAGACGGAACAACACAGTAGAGACGAGACAATTAAGTTAATACTCTGCGCAAAAACGTTCATTGTGCTGAAATATCTGTTGTTGATATTTAAAAGGTATAAATAAGGTTTTTAAATTTGGTTTAAAAGTCAACATGTAGTGCACGTATTTTATGAGAGTAGGAACTGTAAAGGGATACAGCGTGTAATTCTGAATATAAATATCAGATGCTTCATAGTCGCCTTTTACAGGATAAAGAAATGACATGTGATCAAAGTGGACGCGTGTTCCTGCAGAACATTACTCTTACCTGTTGGTTAACATACTGAGTTTGTTTTTATTCGTCCTTATTATATTTATTATTATTTTAATTTTTAATGTAGAGATTTAAACTATATTCAAATACAGTGCTTAACAATTTTAAAAAAAGCAAATTTATGTAAGGTTTGTGCCACTGTTGCTCTAAACTAACAGTATTGGTGATTATAATCATTTTTTAGCTTTCTGTATTGGCAAGTCCTCCAATGTGCATAAGCTCTTTAGTAACAGTAGTTGACTATTTCTATGCTATAATATAATTATTGCTGTTATCTATGAAAAAAGGCAGAAAAAAAAAATAGTCAAGCTCTCAGATACCCAATTACAGTCAAAAAGTACCTAAGCAATGCCAGCAAGAATGCAAGCTGTTATGGAAGGCATAGGAGGACATTCTTGTTAATATGTGAATAAATACTAGCCTACTTAGTTTGATATTTGCCCAATAAATGACAATAACATTTTTAGATTTAAACAATTTTTTGACACCTACCTAAAATATTTGTGTTTTATCTTTATTATGATGTGTGTCTAATAAATTGTTAAGCACTATTTTCATAGCATTCAGTTGACACGTTTGTTTAAAGGACATTGGGCAGAATGTGGAAGTGTTTTTTGTCAAAAAGAAAGAAAGAAGAAGATCCGATTAATCGAAAAAATAATCGGCCAACTAATCGATTATCAAAATAATCGTTAGTTGCAGCCCTAATGAGGTGTTCAGCGATTAGTTTAATCCGTCAGCCTAATTCCAGACTGTAAATAGAGTACAATCTAAAATCTAAACAGAGCACACTAAATGAACTAATTAGTGTACAGCTTCAGATCAAGGATTTAAAACCATAGTAGCCTACATCGGCCTACACAACACAAAGAGTATGAATATTACTTTCATGTTTAAGCCTATATTACTCAAACCTTAATTACCACAGCATAGGCCTACCATAAAGATCTGCATGTGCACAGCAAAAATACTGTTTTTATTACAAGGCTCTTTGTAATTCTTCAGCAATCAGTCATGAATAATGACAGCTGTGCAGGGCAATAGTATAACTGGCCCTCATTTAGGCAACGAAGGCTCTTCATTCATTGCTGTACTCTTCAGTCTAAGTAAGCTAAAAAAAATAAATAATATAAACGTTATAATTAATATTTATGTCAATGTATCTATTTATTTGGCAAGAAGCAGTGCAATAAGCCTTGCAATTGAGTCTCTAATTGATCTGCAATTATATATTCATTCTGCAACCCTCGCAAAATGGCGCACAGTGAGCTGCTGTCATCACATCTCCGTGAGCGCGCAGACACACCAAAGCGCACCTGCGCATCACAGCGAGCAGAGATGATTTATGAAACACTTGCAAAATGATTAAATGAATCAGTATACACCATTGTGACCATTCAAAGTAGTCTCTGAGGCGATGCCTGTTCAATATAAATAGGCCCATTGAGACAAGTTTGTATTTTGATGTTAAAATCATGAATTCCAATAGCAATTCAGTAGATGTCTCACTTCGCCATGAGAGCAGAGGCTGTTTTCGCCTCGTTTATGAACCTCTCGCATCACTCATTGTTGTCAGCAAAGAGGATAAAACGTGAAATATAAAAAATGGCAATATGACAAAGGTGGTTATTTCACTGGAAGGGCGACTGTAATTGGAGAACCCCCTTTATTGATTTGTTATCGATTAATGGCCTAATGTAATTTCTTGTAGAATGGATAAACATGGCGCACACAGGAAAATGCTTGCTTACGCTGCTCTGAGGAGCTTCATTAGTTAATGCTATGATGGTCTGTCTTGCTGTATTATAATCTGCCATAGTTAATGCTCATCTCTCACCAGGCTCGTGGATCCCGGGGTTGTCGCTCATCTCCAGCACGAGCAGCTCTCGGCCCTCGTAACTCTCGCCCACCGTGTAGATGCGGGTGATGGAGGGGCACTGGAGCCAAACGGACACCAGCGCTTTCCGCATCTCCTCATATCGGTGGTACTCAAAGGAGACTGCTCCTTCCCCCGCAGCATCCCCGCCTGAGGCCAGGGCCAGCATCAGCAGAGCCCCGCAAAACACCGCCGCCGTCATCGCTCCCGTCGTGTCTCTCTTAGCACTGCTGTCTGTCCGTCTCTCTTTCTGTTTGTCTCTCTGGTTTTCTGTGTCGTGTCCTGTATGAACCGCAGAACTGATGCGTGAGCGTGAATCCTGACTACCTGTTTAGCCGCGGGGACGCGCGTGAAATCGCGGACGTGTAGCGCGAAGATTGCACACGCGCAATTGGTGAACGCGCACGGTGCTACCCCTGCAGGGGCGTGGCTTATGTAATGACGAACGAATTTACGGTGTTGTGTGACATATCCAATCGTCAGATTTAATTAAATGTAAAGTTATGGATACTTAAGTAAAGCTGAAGTAGCTCAATTGAAATATTCTTAAGTAAACGGATTATTGTAGATGAATGGTGGGTTGATGAGACTGTGATGTGTGAACATTAACAATCACCTAAAAATGAAAAACTGTTATCATTTACTCATCCTTAAGTCATTAAAAATCTGTATGAATTTCTTCTTTTGCACATAAATTAATCTTGGGGTTAATTTTGGTTATTATTAACTAGCTATTTATACATATAATTTTGTTCATTGTTTGTTCTTAATGATGCTACATCACTTTATTTTAATACTGAATTATTCATTTTTATATTTTAAAATTAATTTATCATACCAATAATAATTCATATCTGACAAATATGCCTAATGTGTCTGTCCATAAACTCCTCATTTAGTAATAGCCTACTGTCATTATTTGTAAATTATGTTGAAATTTTATACTTGGGCCCTTTATTAACGTAAAATTCATTGTTTACATGAGGAAGTAGAAGTAGGCTATAAAATCATTATTAGAGGAGCTGGGTTGTAATACTCAGCTAAACTTTGAATTAGGATCATAGGCCATGGCAAAAATAGGCTAAAAAAAAAATATGTGATGTGACCCTGGAGCAAATATAGTCATAATTAGCACAGGTATTTGAAACAATAGTCAATAATACATTGTATGGGTCAACATTATCGATTTTTCTTTTATGCCAAAAATCATTAGGATATTAAGTAAAGATCATGTTCCATGAAGATATTTTGTAAATTTCCTACCGTAAATATATCAAAACTTAATTTCTGATTTATGCATTGCTAAGAACTTAATTTGGACAACTTTAAAGGCGATTTTCTCAATATTTAGATTGTTTTGCATACATCAATGGAAAGCTTATTTATTCAGCTTTCAGATGATGTATGAATCTCATTTTCAAAAAATTGACCCTTATGACTGGTTTTGTGGTCCAGGGTCACATATTACAAATTAGAATGGTAGACCTAGTCCTAAAAATAATGATTTTCTGTGATAATAATATAGATCAAGCCTTTAAATTTTTTAGCACCCTCAGATTCCAGATTTTCAAATAGTTGTATCTCGGCCAAATATTGTAAACCATACATCGATGGAAAGCTATTTATTAAGCTTTCAGATGATATATAAATCTCAATTTAAAAAAAAAATAAAATTTACCTTTATGACTGGTTTTGTGGTCCAGGGTCACATATGATTCTTTACATACACAGTAATATGTATATCCCACCTCATATGGCATGTTAAATATTGTAGTATGTATATTCTGTTCCGGGACAGTTTACCCACCCCATATATGGCTCTTTACATACTGTAATATGACATTTGACTTGTACGTTGATCAGTGATTAGGAATGTGAAACCGTGATGAAAACACATTTTAGGATCTATGTTTGGGAGCTCTCACAGTTTAAATAGACCACAACCGCAGTCAACGTTTTTGTTAATTTGTTTTTATTAAGTTGCCTTTAAATGAACAAGCTAACATCTCAATTAGCTTTCTCCCTTATGATCCATAAGTGTTTTTTAAGTGAGCCAAAATCATCACAATTAAAAGAACCAAAGACTTAAACTACTTCAGTCTGTGTGCATTGAATTTATTTAATACACGAGTTTCATAATTTGAGTTGAATTACTGAAATAAATGAACTTTTCCACGACATTCTAATTTATTGAGATGCACCTGTATATGCTATAGGTGGACACTGTGGAAGTTACAACATCTTTACAGAAATTGAGCAAAAAAATCAGGCAAGGCAACAAAGCAAAAAAAAAAAGGCATTACAAAAATATCAATTTATAACATTCCATCTTTGTTTAGGTGAAAGTAAAGTGCTTTTGAGGAATAATGTAATTAGTACTTGAAACGGATGAATGTTTATAATAATTGAGAGCACAGAACACAGGCTGATATTCTTTCATTCCTAACAGTCCACAGTTCTTTGGAGTACCATGACCAGTGGTCTAATGATGACTGCGGGGTGTGTTTTTTCTCTTTTAAAAGGCACATTGCTGTCAGAAGCTGGCATTGATTTGAATCCATTCAGTCCGATTTTAAATACTTTACAGTGAGTGTGTGCAGCAGGAGGCAATGCAAAAGCATCAGACCAACCAAAGCCCACACAGGAGTCCAAGAGAGATAGATTGCTCTGGCTGATGGTGAAGCATCAGTGTATGCGATTGAGTGTATCTCTGTCAATCAGTCGCTCTTCACAGCTTTATGAAGCGAGTAATGTTTCTTATACTGGGAGTCGGTGTTGAAAAGTCTGTCCCACCAGGTGAATGTAGAGCCATAGTTGCCCACAAAATTCATGTGGTGGAAGTCATGGAAACGAGCTCCAGCGTAGAATGGAATCAAATGTAAGGGGTTCAGAGGAATGTCGTAACCACTAAAGAGAGGACCAAAGAAGGAACATCAAAGAATGAAACAAATACTATAAAAATAATTTAGTAGGACATACTGTCCACTCAATATTTAGTTTGATTTTCATAAAATTCAGAGAATTACTGTTATAGCCAAACTTGTGAATTAGAAAGTGGTGTCCACATACTTCTGGTGATGTGGTTTAATTGTGCACAGGCTATCAAATTAATACATTATCAATATAGTGCCCTCTAGTGTTGTAATAAGTTATTATCAGCATGACATATGTTGACATTGTAAAATTTATTGACCCAGACCATAGCACTGGTGTTAGTTTTGTCAGCTATTTTATAATTAATCTTAGTCTTTTTAGATTTTAGAATATTTAGTCAACATTTTCTGTTTTTTTGTTTGTTTGTTTGTTTAGTCAAGGTTTAGTTGACTAAATGTGGGTGGATTTTAATCCAGGTTTAGTCAATAAAACTCAAAATTGTAATTGTAATCATGACTATTGATTAATTAGTCACAATTCACAAATCAACAGAATGTCAACTCAAACACGATTTATTGTACTCATTTACTCATCGAGTTATGATTTATTCTATTATCAAATGAACACTCTCTACATTAAACTGGTAAAACTCAAAAGCTTCTCTTAAAATCGAAAACAGTCAAATTCCTAATATTAATTCCAATATTTCCAAATTATGTTAATGGTTTTTCTTTTAAAACAAGGAACACGACTTTGTATTGTCACATTGAGGTTGCATATGTGCATTTATTCAGCAACCACAATCACAAACAGTATAGATGACATCCATATCTGGATTTATTATTATCAGTTAATTATTATTAGTTAATCACTGAGAAGCTTAGATTACAAATTTAGTCACAGTGAACAGCACAAGAGACCCTGTGAAGGAACTCTGACTGGCTATATTACACTTTCATTTGAGCTAAATATTTCAGTGGAGAATTTACATGTTTTCAATGTTTTCAGATTACTGGCACCTTTTCCACATTGTAGAGAGAGTATGTGCACATAGTTGCCAGGTTGCAAAGATTAAGTAAAACACATCACAGAAAATGTGTTCTTTTAATTCATTTAAACTTTAACAATCTGGCAACCTCAAGAATGAAAGCTCCTGAAGGCTTTTTGAAAACAGTTCAATAGACAATATTTTTCTCCTGTTTTTGGCTTAAGAACATATAGGGTGATTTAGGTAGAGTTTCTCTTTTTTGTCTACAATATTGCATGCTTATATAGTTACAATTAGTGTTTAATAATGTAGGCGTCGTCTCTTTTCAGCATAGTTTTCATTGAGGAAATTAACACTACATCCACAAAATTGCAGTGTGTGTACTGAGCTCACCTGTGAACATCAATGGTTTCAAGAAGCCGGAAAGCGACCCAAGCCCAGAGCAAAACCATATGATTGCAGAAGACCATGATGCCGATGAAGAATCCAGCCCCCAGAATCAGAGTCTCAGCAGGGTGGGCATATTCTGCCTGCATGCCAAATGGAGCCTAACATACACAAAACGAAACAGATGACAGGTCATCTATCATTATTAAGAAGAAAATTAAATAAACTAAACAATAAATAAATAAACTACAAAATTACTAGGGGTTTAACAAAGCATGTTTCGTTTTGAGACACGATAAAGTACAAAATAATTATTATTTCTAAGACATTTTTTAATAAGTTAACAAAATTACAGTAAGGAAGCACTAGAATAGAAATATTTATTGCTAAAATAGATTATGATAGACACATATTCTTGCACTTAGTCCCTGACTACATACATTTTATTTCTAATTTATTCATAATAATTAATAAACACGAAAGCTCAATTGCATGAGCTTCTGTGTTTACTATATTTAGCGCTCTTTGTATGTACATTGTTCACTGTTTATATGTAAATAAAAGCCTAAATAAAATGTTCATTTTTGGGTGAACTCTATACAATACATATTGTCACAATCCACGATAAATATTGTTGCATTTTTGTATTGTGATATATACACAATATATTGTTACACATTTATATATTACAATATAAAACCAACATAAAAATATATAATAGTACAAATTCACCAAAAAATTATCTTCAAGTCTGTCTTGGCTATCATATAGTTTCCCTTTATCTGCACATTGTGTGTGTCTTTGTGAGACTGCGAGTAACTTACAGTGAAGTCATGATGGACTTTATGAATGTATTTGTAGATTCTGCGATGATGTAGGGCTCGGTGGAGGAAGTAATGCCATGTGTCTTCAATTACTGCACAACCAAAACACTGGGCCAATATAAAGGGCCTGAGATGGTGAAAAAGATTATTTAAAAAATGAAAACAAGGCCTACTGGCTTCAAAAAAAAGATTAGTTTGAAGCCACAGTACAGTACAACCTCAGGACTCTGACTGTAACTTCATAGACCTACTATGGTTTTTTTTTAAACTTCAGTCATAAATGTGAGAGGTGCTCTCACCAGCGAGGCATGGAGTCCCAGTCATAAGAAATGCTGAAGAACTCAGTAAAGTAATACGTCCCGCAGATGAGTGGTAGCTGGATACAGAAGTGATTAAACAGCAGCATCTTAAAGCACTTCCACTGTTTCTCCCATGTCTCTGGTTTATCCTGCAAGCACAATGACAAAAAATATATATAAGAAGTTAATATTTTCTATTTTTAACAACAAAAAACTATAAATATTCAAATTAAAATAGTAACAGATGAAAAAAATCCTTTGATTCCACATACTGGTTGGATCTTATACTTCTGCATGAAAGGGAGGAACTGAAAGATAAATCCAGGCAGACAGAACAGGAAATAGATCAGTTCGTGGACGATGAGCGAGCCCCAGGTGGCGATCTGGAATTTGCTATAGTTCTGCAGCATGTGGTTCCATGCGTGCTTCAGAGGTTCCTGCAGTGGATTTTCTGGCAGAAATGAATCCACAAATTCCACCGCCAGATACGCTGAAGACAGAATGTTGGCTGTGCCGTTCACCTCCATGGCAGCGAGTCAGTGGGACTCTCCAAATGAGTAACTGTACAAACAAATGACATAAACAAAGACTGGTGAGGCTCAGTTATCTCAAAGTGAAGCTTGCCTGAAGGACAGGTAGTTAATATGGAACTGCATCATATCAGGACAGTGTTTTATGAACATGAGTTAAAGCCCGACATGTTCATTAAGTCTGACAGAGAATCTAAGTCTTTCCAATCCTAAGTCAAACTTTCAAGTTTAAGATGACTAAAAAGATGAGTTGACGAGTAATTTAAAGTCAAAGTCACAAAGTCGAGTTTTTTGTGACTTGAGTGTGACTCTCTGGTTACACTTAGATGTTGCTTGTTATTATTCATGTGAAATCTCCAACTGAAACTAATTTATGCACCACTAAATTATGTCAAAAATCCAGTCTCTCATTAAATGACCATCCCTACAGTATAAATTCCGGGTATCTCTTGTTCTTTGAAACCACAATAATGGGGAAGACTGCTGACTTGGCAATAGTCCAGAAGACAATCAACGACACTCTCCACAAAGAGGGCAAGTCACAGAAGGTCATTACTGAAAGGTGTAGCTGTTCACAGAGTGCTGTATCAAAGCATTTTAAATGCAAAGTTGACTGGAAGGAAGAAATTGGGTAGGAAAAAGTGCACAAACAACAGGGATGACCGCAAGCTTGAGAATACTGTCAAGCAAAGCCGATTTAAACACTTGGGAGAGCTTCACAAGGAGTGGACTGAAAAGATTTTGGAGCACTTTATCTGCTGACAAGCTTTATGGAGATGCTGATTTCCTTTTCCAGCAGGACTTTAGCAC